AAAAAAATGACTTATCTAGATTAAAATTTTTTGCAGTGTGGAGACAGGAATCCTGGTTTGATTCCAATTAGTATTTAACAAAAGGTCTCCAGTGCATCCAAATCTAAAAAAAATATATATATAACTTCTTTGGTCTTTGATTGTCTTTAACATTATAAAAAATGACCCTATAACTGTATGTTAAACGTAAAGCTGCTGAAGTTTGGGCGCCTCTTGTTACTAACCCTCAGCGCAGCAGCAGCGTGCTCTTCAGGGACCACCGGCCCACTTGTTGATACACAAACCAAAGCACTCGATTAACAATATCTCTGCTCTAAATGCAAGAATAGTGTAATTTGCTTAACAGAGTACCTTGTCTAAGTGTCCAGTTATAGGAACAGTGGAGGAGCTGGCTCAGCCCAACTGCCTCCACTTCAGATGAGAAGGAGATGCTTACACATCTCTCAGGTCTCTTCACACACACTCTGTCCGTCATCCTCTTTAAAACAATAGACACAATTCAGCAACACGCCACAAATGTAAAACAGGAGGAATCCATGTTTATTGCAAACAGACGGCAGAAAAAAACTGAAAGGATAAACAACAAGGCAATGGAAAGCGGCACAGAGGGTAGCAAGGTCATGTAGCTTCTCCAACCACCTTCTCCTCCGAGGTGCTGAAAAGGCAACGTCAGATAACGGCAGCGCACAAACCTAAAAATATCAACCCTCACTCATTCACCACCCACACGGGAATAAGAGAAGGAGAGGGAGGGGGGGTCTGCAGCCATAATCTGCTTTTCCGGGTCTTATCTGAAGAAAGTCAGTGGATGAATGTGGCTCTATCTCTGCTGGTGTGAACAGCTCGGCTGCAGCGTCGACTCGCTCGCATGAAATCCTGTTTGGGTCGAAGCTTAGAGGAGAAAACGAAGGCAATAACAGCCACCCGTAAAAAAAATTAAAATAAAAAGAGCAGAACCAGATGGAAAACATGTTCAATCCAGCAAAATATCAAGCAGCTATAAATTATATAAAGCAGTAATAATAAAAAGTGCTACAGATGAAGGTTTGTCTCACACTAAATAATAACAATTGATAAAATAGCATTCTGATCCACAGAAGGCCCTGGAAGTGCCTCCAAAATAATGTCTAAACGTCATTTACAGGTTGCTTTTTAAAATATTAAACACTTATATTGTTAACTGTTGTTGTTTCAAAACAGTTATCCAATTAAAAACTGAACAAACTGACAGAAAAATATAATTACAGCATCTTTAAGATTCACCTGCTTTCTAGAAGAAAACGGAACATAAAACATAAACACATTAGAGTCTGATTGGTCCGTAAGTATGGAAGACCAGGAGCGTCACCGGAAAAACAATTATAACTATTTCAATTTTAATATTTAAATCATCGATTTAAAAATCTAATTGGAAAAGGGTCTTATAATTGTACATTTTAATTAAAAACCACTAAGCATGAATTGTAAAGTTTGCAAATTGTATTTATCAATCCGATATAAATACTACAATTAAAAAAATAAAATACTATTATTTATATATATATATATATAATTTATGTATATAAAAACTATTCATTCTAAGAAAAAAAAATTAACTAATATATACAGAAGATTCCTTTTTTAAATTTTCTGTCTCACTTTGCAATTTCTTTATTTAACTTTACTTGTTAATAAACAGTTACATAGCTGTAAGCAAGCGGTTACTAAACTGTTATTAAATTGGTTGTAAGCTGTAACCAAAATGTTGATAAACTGTAGTTTGGTCACATAAATAAAGTAAAAAAAAAAGGGTCAAGTAAATAAAAATAAAAAATAAAACAGAAAAAGGATTTGAAAATGGAAAGTGAATAGGAAAATGTAAAAAGCAAAAAGGAAATGTCAGTTAAGGAAAGGTAAATATAATCAGATTCAAATTAAATCTAATTTAAAATATATTTTCAGATTGTGGTATTAAATAATTTATTAATAAATACAATTAATTTCTTCTAAGTTAATTCATTTAAAATGTACAATTATAAAACTCTTTTCAAATTGGATTTCGAGATCTATGATTTTAATAAAAAATTCAAAATGGTTGCATTTCTTTTCTAATGACTCTTCTGGTCCTCCGTAGATGAGCTGCTGATCTAAATCTAAGTCAGTTACAGATATAGAGCTCAATAAATTAAACATTTAGAGGAGCTGCTGACATGCAGGATTATCCTTATATTTAGCAGCATGGAATCTGGACTTTGGAAGGTCCTGTGTGTGGAGCTGATGGCGACCTTCTGGCCTATAAGAAAGGGAAGAGCCTCTTTTTGAGGATGTACAGGACGGTTGCAAAGAACAGAGCCAACGCCAAGAAGATGAGCAGTTTATCGGTGATCTCCCTGCGGTTGTACTTGGTGATGAGTTTCCTTCCCAGCTGAATGGTTCCAGTCATGGCTTTAAACTCCTCGTTTGTCTCTTGGATTGTTCTCGACGACGTTGCTGGAACCGAATAGAAAAACAGGATTTATTCTAAAACTTTTTTTTTTTTTTTACTGAAAGGACGGCAGGATTATTCATACATTAGTGAAAACCAAACATATCTTATCCTCATGTGCTGCTTCTTGCTTTCAGATGGTTTACATTTGTCTAGCGATGTTATGAGATGAGCCGAGGCTTTCAGGCGTCCGGTAATGGAGGGGGGCGTTTCACCGAGGAGCGTGTCGAGGCGTGATGCGTTTAGGGGAGGGGTCAAAATTGATGACGTCCGAAGCCTCTCTAGTGCGTTACCATGTGACCGCTTCAGGAAGAGGTTCAGACCGCACAAGAACCTTGACAGGCATTTAAACAACCTCACATCTCAGTCTAGATGTTGGAGTTTGTAGTAGAGTTTGGATAGATTTTAAAAATAGATTGGTTGGGAAAAAAAAGCAAATCTAGTAGGTTAAAACTATTTTGGTTAGATTAGACTTAGATTTTATTTGTCATTTTGATTACACGAGTGTAAAACAAAAAGAAACTTTGTTTGGAACGGCTCTGTGGAAAATTTCATCGTTTTTAAAAGTGCAGCCTTGAAAAATACTAAAAATGACTATAAATTTACAATTCTAACATTTATATATATATATATATATATATATATATATATATATATATATATATATATATATATATACTGTATTTTCATAACCATAAGGCACTCCGTACTATAAGGTGCAGTCTCAGTTATGTGTCCCATTTCTGTATTTAACACACACATAAGGCGCACCGGACTATAGGGCGCGTTTTTTATATACAGGTACATATACTCTACTACGTTTAAATATCTCTACTGCATATTTAAAAATAGAGCGGGAGCAAAACTGAGTATGTTTGTGCTTTATTCATGTATTTATTACAAAGTATTAATCAAACC